TGAATGTAATGCAGCCTTACTTGCGATTGCATTAAACAAACTGCTCCAAATTCGTTCAGTTAAATATTTAGCCTAAAATTAGGATCACTTTAAAGTAACAGGGGCAAAGCATTAAGTGTGGGAGAGCCATGCTTCGGCACGAATGGGTCGGCTCGACCGGAGTAATACCACAGCCTCACAGAAAACCGGCCTGAAATAACCACAGCGTTGTGTTTCGCCGTGTGAGTGAGATTACCGGAGGCCCAATCCTTCCCCTCCCCCAATTCCTCCTAAATCCCTAAATCTCCAAATCCCTAATCCCTAAAAGGTCGGCAACGCACTCGTAACTCCTCCGTTGCGAGTGTCCATGGGCGGCGCTGATTGCTTACCATCAGGTAATCCAAGTGCTCGTTTGCCGACGTATTAAATAAAAAAAAACCCTGTTACTTAACTATGTAATGAACCTAATTTTAATTGCCCGATCCAAGAACTAAATTTGTTACTTTGCCAAGTAATTCACCGGTCCATAAATGCTTTATCTTAAATTAAAACGTCTGTATCGCAAATTGTCACAATATATAAATAAAACTTTCGTAAATATAATCACACGGTTCTTTCTACTTTGAAACAAAAGAATCGGCGGCCATTATAATTAATGCCATTTTTACCGTCTCCCAGCGAAAATGGTAATTTCTTACGGATTGCTACTAAATTAGCTCCCGGGAAGACCCCGCCGTATTAATTACGAGGCCACTTCACTAAATTAAGACTTTTTAGTATTCCGTATTAATTGAGAATAAGAAATATCTATTTTTGTTTATATTTGTGAAATTTAAATAAAAAGAATTATAATATTTTTAGTGTTTGGGAGACCGAAATGTACGAAATGTTTGGCTCGACCGGCGGATGCCACGGGCTCCCAGTAAACTGACATGAAAAACGCTGAATTTTCGTAAGCAAGATTACCAGAGGCCCAATCCTTAACCGCCCAACTCGCAGAAGGTCAGCCACGCCTTCATAACTCCTCTAATGTTGCGAGTGTCCATAAGTGACCCCCAAATGCTTTACCATGAGGTGATACGTAGAAACGTTTGTTTAAAACAAAAAACACCACAAGACCGAAAATCATCAAGGAAGGAAAGAAAGAAGAAAGAAAATAGATTTATTTTATCAAATCACTTTTCCCACCCAGGGTTGGGCGGGGTGTCAGACCGCTAAATATTACAAGTGAGTGTCTTTAAGGCCCGAGTGAATATAAGCTGTTAATAAACAAGGGCACCTTAACCTGGGGCGAGAGGAATCACCAATCAAGATAGTGGATCAAGGAGGATAAAAAATAACTATGAAAATTCTGATCATAGAGTAAGTACAAAATACTCCGTGATTATGACTTTCAAAACTTTAAATTTAAAAATCATAGTCACTAGACAAAATACACTATACAAAATACAGTTTTATGATTGCTGTAAATGAAAAACAGAAAACATAAAAAGAAATTAAATTACAAATGTACGTACAAAGCCAAGCCGATTTATGTAATCGCCTTACATTGCTCTTTTACAAATACTTTCTAGAATACCTAAATACTTATCGAATGTAATTTTCAAATCGAATGCTACTTTTTTATACTTAAAAATACTCTTGATTTATTCATGCATTAGTTATCTTTTTCTTAGAGCTGGGCTGTTCTAACTTAATGTGAGTGCATTGGTTTCGAATTTGACAGTTTTTACATATCTTCGTGATAACCATGTCAAAAACTATCTTCGAGGGAGAATGGTAGTTATTGGTTTAACTGAGAGAAAGGTCGAAGATATTTATATCAATGAAGTAGGTATAAAACACACTTGAAGAAAATTAATTCTCTTTTCACGAATTATCGTCAAAATCCCTTAAGAGACGACCCTTTTTATATAACGTTATGGAAGCATCATGGATTTTAGTCTGATTTAAGGAAATTATATTATAGTGCAAAATTCCTATTTGGTTATTCCCAAGCGTTTAAACCATAGTTACTATTTCAGTTCCAATCCCTTCCCCGTATAAATTGTATTACCCTACAAAATTGTCATGTCAGTCGTGAGAAAGAAATATGGATGTAATTAGCAACCTCTCCGTCTAGTCGGGTTACCTTTGTTATGGAAATAACATTAGATACTTTGAGTATTAATATTATCGCCTTAAATACGGCAATGTCTACGATTAAACCTAATGATTTCCATAAGAAAAAAGTAATAAACATTTTATTTTTAATGAAATTTTAAAATATATCATACACACGTTAAAGAGATTGTTTAATACACGTTATAGAAAAAGCTTTTTTTGTCTTAATAAAAATAAAATAATAAACTTAAACATGTAAAATATAAAAAGTTAAAAGCAGTTATAGTCTCTTTCTCTCTCTCTCTCTCTCTCTCTTTCTCTCTACAGCCTACAAAACAGTTCACTTCTGAGAAAAAGCCTCTTCTCACATGGAGGATTGGGAATTAACCACCACGCTGGTTCAAGGAAAACCTGGATAAATCAACGATACCGAAATTATAGGTCCAAGTTTACTCACAATATTTTCCCTTAATGTACTATTTAAGCCGCTGTATAAGAATCTTATGAAGCTCAAACAATACGGTAGTTTCCAACTAAGTAGTCAAATTCAATACTTTTATCCAAATGTCAAAAACGATACTTTCCTATGAAATACTGAGTTATGACGTCATAGTATTTTTACATCAAATTAACAACTTATTTCTTAAAAATATCTAAAATCTAGTGTATCGATCGATCGATGAATGAAAGTATAGTTATTTTTCAATACATATTTAATTGTATTGAAACGTTGAATTAATTTATTTTTGACCTAGGAAACTACCTAATTCGGAATATCACATTGGTACTGGCCAGCCCATCTTGCCACGAATTTTTAATTTTTATCTCAATAAATATTTTCAAAAAAAAAACACTGTACAGTAACACATTATACAACGGAGCTCTGGATCTTGTTCATACTCCTACATCTGCACGAAGGGGCTACCGGTTTCAAAATATATAGGGGATCTTAATATACATCATGCAGGGTCAGGGCTTAGTTTCGCAAGGGTATCGGGCACTTCCGGGGCATTATAGCCTGAAATATGTGGCCTCAAATCTTTGTCTATAACTTTAGGAGAAAATTTAATAAGGCTATGATTTTGTAACTGTTTTTAAAAAGAAAAGAAAAAAAATAGGTCCACCCGTTTTTGCTTAAAAGAATAACAAATATTTATCTATACATTTTCACAAACTTCCACAATAATAATATGAGAAGGGTTTTAAATATTAAGTAAGTATATTATTCACAGACTCACACAATCATAGGACCTTCATCTTCAAGTGAAGTAGGTACATATATTTCGTCTCGAAGCTCATTTATTTTTCCACATACAAACATTTTACTGCCCACTAATTGGCGCACAACCTCTGATTAGTTGACATTTCCTTCCACGCAAGTAATTAAATCATAGAATTAATTGATTAATTGGATTAATTAGAGACAGTGATTTGTAATGGTGATATAATCATTGGGTGATTGTGATAAGGGTTTTAATCGTGAGGGTGTTAATCGCAAGGGTAATTAAGTATTCTATGTTGTTAGCTTGTTCGTTAATTATTGGGAACTTTAATTAATGCCATGTTGCTTTAGTATACCATGTGGGTGTTTCGGTATTTCGATATAAGTTGAAGTGATTTTATAATTTGTTTTTCATACATAGATTACTATGTATAACATATTCCGTTCATGTACATGGTATATTTATACTTGGTGATATTACTTGGTTTTTTATGTCATAGATCAGGAACGGCCTCTTCTCACACGGTGTAGGATTTAATATACACATAGTAATAACCACGTTTGTTCAAGGCAGATTGACGATATCGAAATTATAGGTTCAGCCTAGGTTTCCTCATATTGTTTTCGTTTGCCATGTAAGTGGATTATTAAGAATCTTATAAAGCTCATACAATTCGGAATTATATCACATTGGTACTTGCCAGATTACAAACCCATCTTGCCAAGAATTTTAAATTTTTATCTCACTGCGAACGAGCAGATCGGCTACTTGATGGTAAGCAATCAGCGCCGCTCTCTTGTGGGTTATTAAAGATTTAGGGATAGGGGATTTGAATCAGAATCAGATTTCTTTTATTTGTGAGGATAGTAGATGGGGGGGGGAGCGGGAAGATTGGAGCTCCTGTAACCTCACTCACACGACTGTCAGAACTGATTAAGAAAACATGAAATAAGGTTAACATTTATTTACCAATCGTATTTATTATTTATATAAAAAAACCAATTTACCTAGAAATAGAAATAGAAATAGAAATAATTTATTTGCATAAAATGTATGTTACAGATATGGTGACATGTTAATTTATATTGTCTCAATACATTTCGCCTTACGGCATGCAAAGTATTTGTTATTAGTTACTAATTTAACTCAATTATCTTAAAAACTTATAATATTAAACATTTTTACATTAAAACTCTAACAAAACTCTAAATAAAAATAAAAAACGACAAGACTACCTGCATTTATGACTGCACGGTTGGCGCGGTGGCTGGGCAACTGGCTGCCGCGCAACGTGTCGCGGGTTCGATTCCCGCACGGAACAACTCTTTGTGTGATCCACAGATTGTTGTTCCGGGTCTGGGTGTGATGTGCATGTGAAATTGTATGTTTGTAAACGCACCCACGACACAGGAGAAAATCCTAGTGTGGGGCAACGAAAAAAAAAAAAATATCAAACTTAAATTAAACTTTTATCATTAGAAAATGAAACTACATGATCCATAATAACTTTTAAAATTGAATTTCCTATACAACATCACAAATGCAGAACCACAGTTTATTGATGAATATCGTTATAAACATACTCACATTACAACGTTATCAATCGCGATAGAATCCTCGCCATCCTTTGTTTTACCATCGGTACGTCGACCGTGACCATCAATACCGTCCCATCATCCTCGTCACTCCATCGACATGTCCCTCGCCACAATCACGCGCCCGTCCTTCACCGTCGGTCCCCGTGTCGTTGTGACGCAGGTAAGTGTCATAATTCAATGACGTCACCGTAATATCTCCTAACCCAATTTGTCAGTCTGTTACTGGTTTACATGTACGTATGTATGTATGTCAAATTACTTGTTTAGTGTGTAAGGATCTGTTTTGTCCGTATTATTTTTAATGGTTAGGTCTTCAAACCAGCTTACTTGACACCGGGAGTTATAAGGATTTTGCTTACTTTTGGAGGTAGTTGGGGATCTGGAGATTGGCTACATAGGTTTGGGGTTGTAATATGAGTAAAGGACTTGGATCTTAAATACTTGACTTTAATATCACAGTACACAGTCGGGCAGCTCACTGCACCAGAGTGACATTGTCATTGGCCAACACTCTCTCGGCCACCTTATTTATGGTGAAGGATGACAATGACATTGACAGTTCTAGTGTGACAATGATTAGTATGGCTTCTTATAACCTCACTGTTTTATAAACTTTTGATTTTCCAATTTAAGGTTCTAAAACGCTCGTCATAAATTACTTGTTGCTAAAAAGCTGTTTAGCATGTGGCTTCCTTGGTGTATACTCGGAAGGTTCTTAGAGTGGATTTTCCAAAATTCCTCCGGGAATGAAATAAAGCGAGGTTTTATGCGCGTACAAAATTGTGGGCAAGAGTTAGAACTCTATGCAACATTGCCAAGTAACTACATCGCTAGAACGTTTATAGGACTTTAACCATAACTTTTATTGAACTCATAACATGATGAAACAGAGCTCATTACATTTAATATGTCCACTACTGGCAGTCCCTTCTTTTTTTTGAGAGAGAAAAATCGTCACTGGTCTTATTTCGCTTCTTTAAGCCTTTTGTGGGTAAGGGTATTGGAGGCAATCGAGAATTAGGGAGGGAGAGGATTGGGCCTCTGTTATAGGTATCGCAAGCATTGTTTTATGCCAGTTTTTTGTGTGATCATGGTCTCACTCCGGTCGATCCGACACACTCGTGCCGTAGCTTGGCACTGCCACACTTAACTAAATCCAAGAATGAAAATAAATAGTAGCTTATTAAAATATTAACAGCATAAAATGAAGTAAAAAAACAGTAGAACTTCTGTAAATTGGATAAAAGACGGCAAAAAGTCCAAAATGAGCGATGCAGAGCGCCCACGCCCTAGGCGACAAAGTGTACCAATTAGCGCCAAGCCTGACACTATTCGTACTTACAGACGTATACTCGTAATAAATACACAGTTTTTATGCAACAAGCCATTTAATGGTTCTTTATAAAAAATACATTATACGAATCCTTACTGAGTAAATTTAAATATTTTCTTCATCCGTGCAGTTTTGTATATTTTTAATTAAGAATGTTGCTACAAACTAAGATTTTCTTCCATTTCCTGGGTGCCTTTATAAAAACATACACATGTTTAAGTGTGGGACAGGCATGCTCGACCAGAGTGATACCACGGCCTCACAGAAAACCGGCGTGGAACAACCGCAGCGTTAGGTTTTGCCGTGTGAGTAAGGTTACCCAAAGAGGCCCAATCTCTTCCTTCCCCCAATCCTAAAATCTCCTAATCTCTAATCCCCAAAAGGTCAGTGACGCACTTGTAACTCCTATATTGTTGCTGGCGCCATGAGCGGCGCTGACTGCTCGTATACCGTTACATAAAAAAATTACACCCAGAATCGGAATGACAATCTGTGGATCTTACAAAGATTTGCCCCGTGCACGAAAGAAACCCACGCCACTGCGCCAACTGTGCAGTGAACAGGTGTTTCCATCAGTAGAAACTTGATCAAATCTTTTACATTATTCCAACCAATATGAAGCACGGGTGTTGACGTGTCTGACTCTACGGCGGCTATCCGGCGAAAAATGGCCGACCAATTTTTTTACCAAGCTTCGGGATGTGGATTTACATTTTTTTGTGTTGGAATATTATTGTTTTATTTATATTCAATTTATTCTGACGATAGGGATTAACTTACCTTGTAGGTATAAGTTTTTGACTGCGGATAGAATTGTTCTATAATTATTTATTATTAAATTAAATATAACTGGCTGCACGGTTGGTGCGGTGGGGCAACTGGCTGTCGCGCAACGTGTCGTGGGTTCGATTCCGGCACGGGACAACACTTTGTGTGATCCACAAATTGTTGTTCCGGGTCTGGGTGTAATGTGTACCTATGTGAAATTGTATGTTTGTAAACGCACCCACGACACAGGAGAAAATCCTAGTGTGGGGCAACGTTTTTATATAAAAATATATATATATATTGTGTAATTTTTACTTACATACATAATTTAAGCGAGTTTCGAAAAGTTCGCCCACCATGTAAAAACATCCGTAAAAATTCTGAAGGCATGTGACCTACGCGGTGGTTAGTATGAAATAGAACACCCATTTATGTTATTATTTAAAAACACACATCCCTTTATAATTACCCTTTCGTGGATAAAGGACAGATTTTATGCTAACTTATTTTAGTAACTCCTTACTTACTTATTTATCGTCTTTGTAAACTTCTCACAAACAGTTAATAAAAGATAATAACTCAAAAACTGTCTCCATTCATCGCTGTACGAAATCTCTTCACAGTTCACAGTAAAACTTTACAAGACCTCGCCAGTTACTAAAGAAAAGCATAAATACTTCAAGTGTTAACTCTGGTAGCTGTAAAATTTTAAATGGCCAGGTCAACAGGTGCCCGACATGTGGTTTCAAATACCGGCTTATAAAGGTTTCCGTTTGTGTACTGTGTACTTTTATACACAGTGTGTTGCTTTGTGTACTTTAAGACACAGTGTGTACCTTTGTTGTTGAGGAGAAATGAAAGAACAACATTGTTGTGGTATTTATAGGCTGAAGATACTGTAGTGGAGAATGTGACAAGCTAAACTTTTTCCAAACTGTGTAGGTTGGGATTTTCCATGTTCTAAGTTTAAAGTAATATATTTCTGTAACATTGATGGAACAAAATGGGGTTTTACTGTAACAATGATAATCTTTGTAGGTATTTTTTTACGCACAATGAAAAAAAATCTATGTGTACGTGTATCTTTGGAATACATGTTACTTCAGAATAGCTTTTTTCTGTGTTCCATGCTTTATCCAATTTCGTTTCCTTTCACGGGACCACAGGGTCCCGGACCTTTGGAAAGCGTTCGAGGAGCCGAAGCCAACTCGCAGAGGCCCGTTCAACAATTTTAATATAAATGTGATGGGACATCAGCCGGCAATTATCCCTGTATGCATTATAAAACTGCACCCAAGGACAATCCCCGGTTGATGCAGAACTATTGCGAAATGTGGTAATAATTGGAAGGGATATGGGTATGGGTTGCTATGGATGGACTGGTGGATATGATTATCCAATTTATTATTAAGCTTGTGAAATATTTTCGTCATTAGACACACGCTATTTGATTATGAAATAATGTAAAATTAATATAATTAAATAATGGTTACTTACAATTATGTTTGTCATGAATAATAATTATGCTTAACATTTAACTATATTGTTTTGTTTTGTTTCAGGTAAGCAAAGACATGACAGCTCTGATCTTCTCTTCAGGTATACTTGTAATATTAAAACTACGTCTTACAGACATAAACTTTAAGAAGTCCCATATTTTTTTAAAATATAAATATTCAAATCATTCGCAAAAGAAAAATACTACTTACGCGTCCCAATACCTAGAAAATATCGCCCAATTTTAGTAATGCGATTTATTGGTAGATGCGTACCTATTGGATTTTTGAGAACACCTTATTCATATGATAGAATTGAATAGAACTAGGTTTTTTGTGGAACTATCTATCTAGGAATCTAGGTATACTTTATTTATTGGTATTATTTATTTATAATATTATAAAGAGGGAAAATTGGATTGTTTGCGTATATTAATTTAATAACTACTTGACCGTTTTGAAAAATTATGTCACTTTTTGGAATGATTCCTTGGTGAATATTGTTATTTTTGTTGTATAAAGTGGAGATTTAATAAAACTTTTGTAGTACAACAGACTGTCTTTTATTGATGTCCACAGAGTAGTAACGCCATCTTAACCAGAGAGAGGGATTGAAATTTAACATAGAGTATACATACAAAACATAGACAACTAATATCTCAATACCCCTACTAAATTCAAGCCCTTCATCGGCTTTACATAGTAACAATTTTAATATTCGCTACAATACAACACATTTATATAACTCTACTGCACAAGTACAAACTAATTAACAAGTTTTGACATTCCAATATTATTTCTCATAAATATAAATTTATCTTTAGGCAAAGCCTTTGTAAACATATCAGCATACTGACTGTCAGTGGGTACATAGTTTAGACTAATAACATTTTCATAGTATTTTTCTTTTATGAAATGATACTTAACATCGATGTGTTTGCACCGCTTATGAAATTCGCTGTTTTTAATCACATTTATTGCACTCTGATTGTCAATATTAATGCACACGGATTTTTGAGTAAATTTACCTATATCACTAAGTAATTGTCTAAGCCACATGGCTTCTTTAGTTGCTGCACAAGCAGCGATGAATTCGGCTTCTGTCGTGGATAAAGCCACAGTAGGCTGACGTTGAGATGACCATGTGACAGCTGCTCCACTTTTGAGGAAAACGTAGCCAGTTATAGAGCGTCTCTTTTCTAAGTCATTAGCAAAATCTGAATCGCTGTATCCAATTAAATCATTACTGTCAGAGTTAGATATGTAGCAAATTCCATAACTTTTTGTTTCTTTCAGGTATTTAAATATTTTCTTAATAGCATTCCAGTGAGATTCATTGTGGGAATGAATGTATCGACTCACCTGGTTGACAGCAAACATTATATCAGGTCTGCTCACCGTAGCTACATGTATCAGTGATCCAACTGCTTCTCGGTAAGGATAACTTTTCTTGGGTGCATTTTCAGGTTTCTGCAACTTTACATTCGGATCAGCAGGTATATAGTTGGGATTAGCATTCTGCATGTTGAATTTCCTTAACAACTGATCAATGTATTTGGTCTGATGGATATGAATAAAATTACTGTGTTTTTCAATTTGCATCCCAATAAAATTAGTTACCTCAGAATATACTTTTATTTCAAAGTTTGTTTGTAAATCATGAATTACTGCCATCATTGCAGAATTATTTTTACAGAACAGAAGACCGTCATCAACATAAAGGCACAGGTAACATTTGAAATCATTTATTGTTCCAACGTAAACACACTGATCTGCTTTGCTTTTCTCAAAACCAAACTTATTAAGAACTGAGCTGAATTTAGTGTTCCAGCATCTAGACGCCTGTTTCAATCCATACAATGATTTTACAAGTTTACATACCATATTGGGCTTGCAGTCTAGTCCCTCAGGTGCTGTCATCAGAATATTTTCCTTCAACTCGCCATACAGGAAAGCAGTAGTTACATCAAACTGAATTATTTCTAACTTTTCTTGAGCTGCAATAGATAATAAAACTCGAATTGAGTCATACCTGACTGTTGGTGAGAATGTTTCATCATAATCGATGCCCTTCTTTTGAGCATAGCCTTTTGCACACAAACGAGCTTTGTAACGAGGGCCTGTTGGTTCATCCTTCACTCGAAAAACCCATTTGCTTTCGATTGGCTTCACATTTTGAGGTTTTTCTACCAATACCCACGTTCCATTTGTTTATGAGATTCTAGTTCTTTTTCTATAGCACATTTCCATTTCTCAGAATCAAGTGATGTGATGGCCTCATTATAGTTCAGTGGTACAGGATCATCTTCATTACAACACAGGTAACCTTTTTCTTGATCATCTTTTTGTTTTGAAAATAATTCTCTGTTCCTTGGTCTCAGTGTTATGTTAGAATGAGAGGGTACTTCAATTTTCCGATTTGGTAAGTATTCACTATCTGAACCTTGATCAGAGTAGTAGTCAGTACTCTCAGATTGTGATGTGTCTTTAGAGCTCTCAGATGTGTAATTGTCACATGGTTCGGATGATGAGTCACACATTGAGCTTTCCTGCGACAAAACCTCTGAAACATAATTTCTCTCTATTGTAGTTTCAAGAAAGACTGCATCTCTACTTTTGATTACCGTTTTGGAACCAGGAATCATAAATCTATATCCTTTGGTATTGTCACAATAGCCAATGAATATTGCTTTCTGTGCTTTTGGGTCCCATTTTCTTCTTTTTTCTTTTGGGAGATGAATCATTGCTTCACATCCAAATATTCTCAAATGACTTATATTTGGTTTGCTTCCGGACCAAATCTCTTCTGGTGTCTTGTAATTAAGTGACCGAGTTGGAGATCTGTTGATTAGATAAGCAGCAGTGTGTACAGATTCAGCCCAGTATCCTTTAGATAATTTGGCGTTAATTAACAAACACTTTGCTTTTTCAACCAATGTTCTATTCATACGCTCGGCCACTCCATTTTGCTCTGGAGTGTATGGAGTGGTGGTTTGATGAACTATTCCAGAAGTTTTTAAGAACTCAGAAAGATTTGCATTTACATATTCAAGACCATTGTCAGAGCGAAGACATTTTATACTACATTCCAGTTGTTTCTCCACTTGGGACTTGAATTCTTTGAATTTTTTCAGTGCATCAGATTTCTTGTGAAGAAAATAGACAAAAACCTTCTTTGAGTAGTCATCAATTAAAGTCATAAAGTATTTAGCACCACCCAGCGAGCTTGTCTCCATCGGACCACAGATGTCGAAATGCACCAGCTGAAGTGTCTTTGTAGACTTGGTTTCACTTTGTTTTAAAGGTAAGCGAGATTGTTTTCCTTGTAAACATACAATGCATGTTACCTTATTATTTCCATATTTTTTCTTAGCTAATTCTACACCTTCTGTGTTGTCTACTAATTTCTTTAGAGTTTCAAAATTCAAATGGCCCATGCGTTGATGCCAGAGGTACATGTCTTGCTTGTCAACATCAGATAAGTATGCATGTTCACTTTTCATGTCCAGCCTGTACATATTATTGACTAAGCTTGCCGTTGCAACAACCACATTGTTTTTGTTAAATATCAAACAGCCTTTATTGGTGAATTTTACCTGACCTCCGTTTTTTATAATCTGACTGACTGATAGTAAATTTGTTGCTAATTCAGGTACATACAAAACATTTTGAAACAGAATTTTGTTGTACTGACCTTTATCATTGCACACATTTAATGTTAACTGACCAGCACTGTAAACTGATAATGACTTGTCATTTGCAACCTTTATTGTTTTAATAAGTGCCTCTTTCTCATGTTGCAATATATTTCTATGTTTGGTCATATGCACTGAAGCGCCTGAGTCAATGTACCATGGATCCTGTTCAAGGGTATCTGTTGAGGCTATGAAAGCTGCAGCATAACTTGAACTCTCTTGGTTCTTTTTTGTAGATTTCAACTTACACTCAGTGGCAATATGGCCATATTTATTGCAGTTGTAACAACGAGGTCCTCTTCTAGGTTGTTTCTTGTTACCTTTATTCCTGTAGTTATAGTTAGCAGCAAATGCAGATGTGTCATTTTCACATATTTTAACATCTTGTAGAATTTTAGACTTGACAGAGTCTGCGCTTATTTTCATACCAGAACTTTCAATTGCTATGATCATTGGCTTGTATGTTTCAGGTAGACCGGAGAGCAGCAGTGTCCCGAGCCACTCATCATCCACTTTAAAGCCGATGTTGCGCAGCTTATGAGCCGTGGTCATGATTTTGCTTACGTATTCTTCTACGTTAAGACATCCAGTAAGATTTGTTGTACACAGGTCTCTAAGTAAACCCACGCGGCGTGTAAGCCCAGAGTCGTCAAATGCGTTTGCCAAACAGTCCCACACTTCTTTTGCAGAATTTGCATCTTGGATGTGAACGTAGTTTACGGAGTCCACCAGCAAGATTATCTTTGATTTTGCCTTGATGTCGCGTTTTGAATCGATAGATATACCGGGCGCATGTTCGACACAGTCCCACAATTCCTCGTGTTGGAGATATGTTTTAACTGCGAATCTCCATGTGGAATAGTTTTCCCGGCCAGTAAGCTTTTCGATCATTACCAGGGGATTGCTTGACGACATTTCGACACGATGTTTGACGAATATTTTATGATATTTCAATCCGTAAAACCAAAAGTCACTGAGAATGCAAATTTTTCACGATTTCTACTGTCTTTTGTTTTACCGGCGCGGCGTACAATATTTTCACAATTTCACTATCTTGTGTTATACCGGCGTGAAATATCTTCACTATATTTATCAGGGCTATACTGGGCCCATAACCTGTTATTTTTGTTGTATAAAGTGGAGATTTAATAAAACTTTTGTAGTACAACAGACTGTCTTTTATTGATGTCCACAGAGTAGTAACGCCATCTTAACCAGAGAGAGGGATTGAAATTTAACATAGAGTATACATACAAAACATAGACAACTAATATCTCAATAAATATAGGCTATAAACTTCGTGAGTGAAACAGCAAGGCACAGCTAGTGAAACATAAGTATAAAATAAAACTAAGTAACTAACTAGTTAACATATTATAAGTATCCTCTAGGTACATAATATACCTAC